ACTCCTCCCCCGGGTGTAGGGGCATCGGGTGGAGAGCGAGAAGACACTGGTCATGTGAGGGCAAGCAGCATCCTTGTGTGTCCCCTCCTCCCTACTTGTAGTTAAAGCGATCGTAATAACGATCTGTACAACTCTAGAGGCGGTTTATGCCTGTTTCTCAATTCAGCCTTACAACCTGCCTCTGAGGGAGGAATTAGTGTTCCCATTTAATAGGAGAACCGATTTAGGCCTAAGGAAAAGAGATTGCCCCAAGTCACACGCCCCTCTGATCAGAGAACAGAAAAAAAATCAGCTGGAAACTCTCAGGATCACTTCCTGCAGGTGGGGGAGGGGGGACTTCAGGAGTTCTGTGGACCCCTGAAAGTAGGCACAGAATCGGGCATTCTGTGCTCGTGGGCATTTTGTGGGTAGAGGGATCCTACGTCTCACGAGAGTCTTAAAGTGGGAGGAAATGGGGTGGGGGGTGGCGGGGACCAGATCACTCTTGAGGGTAGGGACAGGGAGTGGCCTGCTCAGGAGCAGTAAATTAGTGGAAGACTCAGGAATCAAATCCAGTCCAAAGGGTTAATAGTCACTCAATTTCCTGTGTTGTGAAGACCAGCTTGGGAAAATCAATGCACCCAAGTGATGAACCCAGAAATGAAACTTTGTGCTTTCCTGATAAAAAGATTTCCCAGGGGTGCTTACCAGCATTCCTCCTCCCCTCCCCACTTCACTGCCCTAAATACACAATGAGTGGGTGTGCCTGATCAAACAGATCATAGATCAATACCATGTATGGAGATTGAAGTCGGGGCTACTCTAGGCATTGGGCATTTTGTCTGCTTAACTCACATAATCTCCCAAGTATGATGAGTCTCATTTTACCAAAAAGAGAACTAAGGCAGGTAAAGCAGATTGCCCAGGGTCACACGACCAGGAAGTGGTGGGGTAGGCCTTCTTTCTGCCTTCCAGACACACTGTACTATTTCCCTCCTGAAATAACCCCAAGCTTGGCAAGGATCCTGTTTGCAGCTCTCCCAGGCCCAGAGTGTCAGGAATGTGACCCTGTGCAACAGCAGCCTCTCAGGGTCAAGGCACTGGGGGCTGGGCCAGAGGTTGAACAAATAGAGCAGCAGGAAAGGCAGCTCCTCTTCTCTGGTTCCCTCCCTTTCTCTCCCACCGCTCCCTCCCTTTCTCAGGCATCAGCGCAGAGAGCACAGAACCCAGTAAGCCAGGCTCACGGCTAGAAGCCCTGCCATGGCACCCCTTAGGCCCCTTCTAATGCTGGCCCTGCTGGCCTGGGCTGTTCTGGCTGACCAAGGTGCAGGAGGGTGTTGGTGGCCAGTTGGGCTAATGTAGGGTGGGCAAGAGTGGGCCGGACTTGGCTGTGCCAACTGAAACTCCCTCCCCACAGAGTCATGCAAGGATCGCTGCACCGAGGGCTTCAACCCGGAAAAGAAGTGTCAGTGTGATGAGCTCTGCTCTTACTACCAGAGCTGCTGTTACGACTTCGTGGCTGAGTGCAAGCCCCAAGGTGCGTTCAGAATGGCTGGGTGGGTCTGGGGTCCCCTCTGCAGCTGGAGACTCACACCACCCACTCTGCCTGCAGTGACTCGCGGGGATGTGTTCACTATGGCAGAAGATGAGTACGGGGTTGATGGCATCGATTCGGAGACAGAAAATCCCAGTGTCCACACACAGACAGAGAGCACCCTCATTAACAGTAACCCACAGCCCTCTGAAAGCGTTCCTGAGCAGGGAGTTGTTCTGAATCCTGAGGAAGAGGTCCGAGGACCGGAACAGGAGGCCCCAGGGCCTGACATGGAGACCCTAAGGCCTGAGAGCGCCCATCAAGAAATCTTCGAATCCTCAGTAGAGGAGCTGTGCAGCGGGAAGCCTTTTGATGCCTTCACCGACCTCAAGAATGGTTCCCTCTTTGCCTTCCGAGGTGACTCCAGGGGCAGGTCTCTGGGGCGGGGGTCTGCCCCAGGAACATTCCCTCCCTCACACAGCCTCCTCCACTCTAGGGAAGTACTGCTATGAGCTGGATGAACATGCAGTGAGGCCTGGGTACCCCAAGCTCATCCAAGATGTCTGGGGTATCGAGGGCCCCATTGATGCTGCCTTCACCCGCATCAACTGTCAGGGGAAGACCTACCTCTTCAAGGTGCCAGGCCCAGGGGCTGTGGGTGAGGGTCAAGGGTATCCAGGCAGGGGTTGAGAGCTGTTGTGCCGGCGACCAGGGTGGGCAAGAAGGCTGAATCCTAGCCTTTGGTGTCTGGCTGAAGCTCTGGGAGGTCAAGGAAGCCCAAGGTTCCAGGTCCTGGGTGACAAGTCTAGAACTGAGACTGCTGCCTTGGATGGGGGGACTCTGCCTCCGTGCCCAGCCAGCCACCTCCTCACCTCCCTCCTCCTTCCCTACCCCCTTAGGGAAGTCAGTACTGGCGCTTCGAGGATGGCGTCCTGGACCCCGATTACCCCCGCAGCATCTCTGAAGGCTTCACGGGCGTCCCAGACAATGTGGATGCAGCCTTCGCCCTCCCCGCTCGCAACTACAACGGACGGGAGCGGGTCTACTTCTTCAAGGGTACTCAGGGGGTAGAGGGGAGAATGAGCAGGCAGTGGAGCAGTCTCAGTTTTGGGGGACTGGCCTAGATGATGCCTAGGTCCACCCTCCTTCCACCCTGCCCCGGCCTGGAGCTCCTAACAGCCTCTGGGCTTTCCAGCCTTGCTCATGCCCAACCCCTCCCCAGGACAACAGTACTGGGAGTACGAGTTCCAACGGCAGCCCAGTCGGGAGGAGTGTGAAGATAGCTCCCTGTCTACCGTGTTTGAACACTTTGCCATGATGCAGCGGTCCGGCTGGGAGGACATCTTTGAGCTCCTTTTCTGGAACAGACCCTCTGGTATGGAGGGAGGGCAGGTCTTGTTTCCCCTTCAAGAGGGCTGGGATCCCGGGGACAGAGGGAGGGCTGGGTTGGCCAGAGGGGGAGTGATTGTAGAGCTATCCATCAAAAGCTGTTTGCTCAGGCCAGACTTTGCATCTGTTTTGACCTTTGGGGGGAAGGCTTGCCCCCACCTGGACCCCACACCTTGGACTTTGCCTAGCATGCCCAAGGGCACAGCCAGCAAAAGGGGGGGCTGTGGCTGAGGTAAACGGGGCGGGACATGGTGGAGGGAGGCCAGGGGAAAGGGCATTAAACAGAGTCAGAAAGCCAGGGTGCTGACCTCTGCCGCTAGCTTGCTGTGTCCTTGGGCACCTGATGAACTACCCTGTGGGGGGTGAGGGGGGAGGGTCCAGGCTCTCGAGGTTCCCCATTAACCCCTTCCCTGCTACAGGTGGTACCAGACCGCCCCAGTCCATCAGCGAGGACTGGCCTGGTGTGCCCGGGAAAGTGGATGCAGCCATGGCGGGCCGGATCTACATCTCAGGCTCAGCTCCCCACTCCTCCTTGACCAAGAGCACTAAGTCTAAGCGTCGCAGCCGTAAACGCTACCGATCACGCCGTGGCCGCGCGGGTGGCCACAGCCCCGACTCCCACCGGAAATCCCGTTCCATCTGGCTGTCCTTGTTCTCCAGTGAGGAGAGTGGCCTGGGAACCTACAACTATGATTACGACATGGACTGGCTTGTGCCTCCCACATGTGAGCCCATCCAGAGCGTCTACTTCTTCTCAGGAGGTAGGAGCCCCTGCCACTGCTCTCTCTAGTTCCCATGAGCTGAACTCGGCCCTTGAGCAGTGACTCCGGAAAGCCAGGCCAGGAGTCCTGGCCTGCATTGTGATGTTCACTTACCCTTCCAGGGGAGACTGGGTTTTAGGGCAGGCTAGGCAGGGCCAGGCTGGGTCTCACTCACTCTCCCCCAACCTCTCTTCCAGACAAGTACTACCGAGTCAACCTTCGCACACAGCGAGTGGACACTGTAAGCCCTCCCTACCCACGGAACATCGCCCAGTACTGGCTGGGCTGCCCAGCCCCTGATCACCAGTAGGAGTCGGAACCCATATATCTGGGCCCTCCGCTGCTTCCTCCTCTAACATCCTCCTCCCAGCTCAATAAAGATCCCTTGGCGCTGAGTTTAAGATTTCTGTCCTGACTGGGGTAGACAGGAAGGAGGCAAGACTCTGCCTGGGTAAGGGAGGCAAAGCTGGGCTGTTAGGGTGGCTTGGAGACAAGAGCCTTCCTGTCCAGCCCATGTTTGGCTCAGGGCCTCCTCATGAACCACAAAGCTGTGGGCTGGAGAAGGCCTCACGGGTGACAGGCCTCCTCCTGAGCTAAGCAGCCCCCAACAACCTACCAGTAGCTAAGCAGGAGCTTGAACCCCTCTGATGATGACAGGAGTCACCAAGCGCCCCCTCTCAGCCCCGGCTTGCTTTACCTCTTGGAGTTGACCTCTAGACCAGTGGTCGTCAAACTCATTAGTCAACAGAGCCAAATATCAACAGTACAACGACTGAAATTTCTTTTGAGAGCCAAGTTTTTAAAACTTAAACTATATAGGTAGGTACATTGTTATTAACTTAATTAGGGTACTCCTAAGGCTTAGGAAGAGCCACACTCAAGGGGCCAAAGAGCCCGCGTGGCTCGTGAGGCACAGTTTGCCGACCACGGCCCTAGGGTCTTGGAGGACAGAGAAGGGGTGAAGGGGATGGGCTTCTGGTTCAGTTTTCTGGTCATCTTGAGCCTGAAATGTGGTTATCTCAGACATCTAAGTCCCTAGGGAGCTGGTCACTGTGCTCCCCTAGTAACCCCCATCTGTGAGGACTCTGTCTGGGGTCTGGGTGCAGGGCACCGAGGTTAGGGGAGATAGGAAAGGCAGGGACCCAAAGGAAATTCAAATGTTCCTACATCTCTTAGTAAGTGGCCCAGAAGATTTCCAAGGACCAGTACGCTGTAAATACAAACATCTTCCTTAAAACTCCTCAGTTGTACCAGTGGAACCTCCTCTGGTTTCAGGTTCCTGGACTCTAGGAAGCCCACCTGGGCTTTCGAGGGGCCAGAGAGAAAGGGTTAGATGAAAACAAAGCTCTAAAGCAGACCTGAGGGAGATCTGGTGGTGACAGCTGCTTCCCGGCCCTGCTGCTGTCCCTTCACCCTGCACCCTGCCCAGCCCCAGCAGGTACTTCTCCCATATCCTGGAGAAAGGGAATCCTTTCTGCTTTTTGGAGGCTTCAGAACTGTTACAGGCCAGCATCCAGGATGTGCGGAACAAGGATGACGGCTGATTTGTACACTTGGGCAAGTTCAGGCAGCGTGGCCCACTTCCAGGAAGGCCTGGATTCTATTTACTCTCGATGGAAAACCCCAGCCCAGCAGTGCCTGGACTGGACTGGAGAAGGCAGACAGGCATCAGGATTAGGATCAGGTACCGACAGACTAGTTTTGTTCAGTTGTCGGAGTCTCCTCTACTGCCCGCTCTGGCAATCACAGAGGACTCCTATGGAGATCAGTCCTCAGCTGTGGGACAGGACTGCACCCACTCTCCCCTGAAGGCAACCAGCACGGGCTGAAGTCCTGGGAATACTGCAGAGAGGGATTTCTTTGGCTTCCTGGAAGAAGCCCTGGGAGACTTTTTATGAAGTACCCGGATTTCAGACACAGACTGCCAGACTGTGCAGTTCAAGGAGTGGGGCTGGGACCGGCTTCCTTTGTGGAGCCCTGGAGGAGCAGGGGCCCCAAAACTTGTGCCCCACCTTTACCCTGCCAAGCTCCAACACTGCCCCTGGCCACCTGTGTCTCCTCAAGCGGGATGATAAACCTCTATGCGCCTGGAGGTGGAGCCAGCCCTCTGAGCAGGATAAAACCCCAATCGGAGGCGTCTGGTGTGGGCACAGCCTGGGAATGGCCCTCTGGCTCCTCACTGCCAGCTCCATGGCCAGCCCTGTGGATGCATCGCCAACAGGTGATCTGATGGGAAAAGGGCCGGCAGGGAAGGATGTAAGGGAGGGTATGATGGGGGACATTGGGGCAGGCAGCAGATGCTTCAGTGTCTCTTGGGGGCTTTGAGGTTGGGGTGGAGGCTCTTGAAGCGAGTCCTGGCTTGATCTCCACCTCGGCCCACAGGCCATGCCAGTGGGTTGGGTCCCCACCGGAGAAAGCGGACCACCTTCAGCAGAGGACAGCTGCTGGAGTTGGAGCGGGTGTTTGCAGCACGGCCCTACCCTGACATTGGCACCCGTGAGCATCTGGCCCAGGTCACCTGCCTTCCTGAGGCCAAGATACAGGTGAGCTGTGCCCCCCCTCAGAGTGGGGATACTCTCACACAGCTAGCTTCTGGGCTTGACCCACAGCTCCTTCTGAGTATCCTGCCTCCAAGTTCTGCTTTCCCCGTGCTTGGGGGGAGGGGATACTGGAGCCAGAAGAGACCCCTTCTTCTTCCTTCCCAGGTGTGGTTCCAGAACCGGCGGGCCAAGAGAATCAAGAACAGGAAGCCAGGAGGCCTAAACTCCAGGCCTGAGCCCCCACAGAGACCCCGTTCTCTTTCAGATGCTCCCCAGCAGTCTCAGCAGCCCCAAACACTAGGCCAGCTTCCACTCTCCAGCAGCACAGCTCAGTGCACCTCAGGGTGTCGACATGCCTCCTGCCTGGCTCCTGGCTTGGGTCCAGGGCAGGGCTGGGTGGGGGTTAAAGCTGTAGCTCCTTGGGGGCCAGCAGGGGCTTCAGGGGTCCATCTTTCTTCAGAGCAAACTACTCCCCAGACCTCACTGGGCAGCCTGTCTGAACTCATCTATGCCTCGGCCATTGTCACCAACCTGGACCACTCCTAATCTAGGTCAGAACTTGCAAACCCCCACCTCTAGCTCCTGTAGCCCACCTGCCCCTTAAGCTGAAACCCATCACCCTCTTCTTTTACACAAGGGCATTCTCTTATGGGGAGAAAGTTTAGTTCAGGGATTCCTCCCTTCCACTGTCCTCCAGGCCAGCCTAGAAGCGGGACCTAGGGAGTAAATGGGACCTGGCTCCTGCTTCCCAGCACCCTGCACCTCCTGCGGCATATGCCCATTGTCTTGGCAGGAGCGACCTTCAGAGGGATGAGGTATGGGGCCATGTTTTCCCCCTGTCCTGCCAGGCCCGGCCCCCAACTCTTCTCACCCAAGCAGAAGACACCTCCTCCCTCTAAAGGTAAATGGGCAGGAAGCTGCCTGTCACCTTCAGGCCAGCACCTCACTGCTAAGTGAGCTAGGGGAGGAGAGTGTGCTGGTTCTCATTCTAGACTGCAAGGGACCAACCCTTTCACAGTCAAGGGTCTCTCATGACCTCCTACCACCTGGACAAATTAATCAAAACCATGGATCTGAAGAAGCGATATTAAAGTAATAAAGTAGAAACAGGAGCTTGTAGCTTACACTGATTTAATTTTCATAAAGATGAGATCGGTTGCCCTCTGATCTGGGGGTGTGGAGAGAACCTGACAGATTTGAACAGGGTAGGGTGGTGTGTGCACGGCAGCGTTGGGTTTTGCTATCACTGTCATCTGTAATACCAACTAAGCTCCAAATAAAACCCAAACTCTGTACCTTAATCTGGATTGTTGTGTGACACAAACGAACAGGGACGAGAAGGCCTTTTGCTTTTGAAATTTATCTCCATCACCTAATCTCTAAATGGGCCAAGTTCCACAGATTCTGGTGGGGGAGGTATTACCCAGGTTTCTGCTGGGATTAGTTAAGAGGGACAGTTAACTGAAGGGCTTAGAGCTCTCACTGACAGACCCTGGGGAGGTGGGAACCTCTGCTGGCAACTCCTGCCCTGACCCTACTGGTTCCAGGACAATCTGGCTGCCTCCTGTTCTGGAGCTGCTCTGCAATCCTGGCATTGCTAAGTAACCTTGCAACTCTCTCAGTCTATGAGCCTGAAAATGGGGATGATAACACTTGTCTCCTCCCTGTTTTGGAAATGAGAGCCAGCAATCTCCACAAAGCTTTTAAAACTTAATTTTAAAACAGTTTAGGTTGCCCGGCTGGCATGGCTTAGTGGTTGAGCACCAACCTATGAATCAGGAAGCTGAGGTTCGATTCCCAGTCAGGGCACATGCCCGGGGTTTGGGGTTCAATCCCCAGTGTGGGGCGTGCAGGAGGCAGCTAATAAGGATTCTCTCTCATCATTGATGTTTCTACCTCTCCCCTCCACTCTCCCTTCCTCTCTGTAATCAATACAAATATTAAAAAGCAAAAAACAGTTTAGGTTGCTAGAAACACTGTAAAATGCCACCTACGTTTTTCTCCTGTTTTCATTCCTGCCAACCAAAAACAGAAATCCTAGGATTTTTCAATGTGACCTATGGTGAACAGAAGGGCCTAACACCTCCTCCTCTCTCATGCAGAATACTGCCATGACAGGCTCAGACTTGTTATAACTGGCAAACATTGTTGAGGGAATGTCTACTCAGCCAATCAGTATATAATTTCTAAAAATAGAGGAATGCCTGGGGACGGGGTCGGGGGAGACCGCTGGAGCTTATGCAGTGAACTAATGGAAACATGGACTCTACCATTAGGAGCAGGCTCTGCACAATTTTCAGAACTATACAAATCTTTGGGCTTTTGTGTTTTCACAGATTCGAAATAAAAGTACACTGAATACAATAAATATTTATTATGCTTTATACAGGTTCTATCATCACACCACTAATCTAAGTTCCAAAAGTTTAATATTACACAGAGACTTCAGGACCATCTAGGAGTCTTTGGCTCCATTTATCAGAGGAAGGAACACAGTAGATCATTTGATCTCTCTCAGCCTCAGTTTTGCCATCTGGAAAAGGAGCCTAAGACCATTTCCTTTTCTAACCTCCAGGGCTATTGTAAAGACCAAAAACAACTATGTAAAACAATTAGTCAACTGTGAGCATTTACATATTATTTTTCACACTCACCCAAACATGTTTAAGAACCCCACAGGAAAAAAAAAAAAAGAACCCCACAGAAAACATCCTATATTAGGATGTATACATATTCATAATGTATTATGTATACATATTCACATGTATGTTTATTCATAGTTAAATGTGAAAATCATCCCTGCCCCTCCCTTTACTAGTTGAGGCAATCTCACAGTAGGCATACTCTCCCCACAAACACAAACAAGTACAAGGGATTTTGCAATTAAAAGCAGAAACACTGTTTTGCAACCTGAATTGTTTTCATTTTTGGAGACAGAGCAAAAGGTGATGAAAAGATGGGAAGTTTAAGAAGGGCTAGTGGGTGGTAGAGACAGGCAGAAGCATATAGAAACCCTAAAAAAGACAAGCAGAAGGAAGAAAATGTAGATAGAAACTAAGATTCCAAAAAGATAGCTGCCTTACATCCCGTTCCGCCATTCTGTACAGGCCCATCTTCCTCCTCTTCTTGTTTTACGTCCTCCAATCAGTTCTTCCCCATAACCCGGAGAAAGGGAATCCTTTCTGCTTTTTGGAGGCTTCAGAACTAAGTTACAGGCCAGCATCCAGGATGTGTGGAACAAGGATGACGGCTGATTTGTACACTTGGGCAAGTTCAGGCAGCGTGGCCCGCTTCCGGGAAGGCCTGGATTCTATTTACTCTCGATGGAAAACCCCAGCCCAGCAGTGCCTGGACTGGACTGGAGAAGGCAGACAGGCATCAGGATTAGGATCAGGTACCGACAGACCAGTTTTGTTCAGTTGTTGGAGTCTCTTCCTACTATCCCCTCTGGCAACTGACAGAGGATGAGGCTTCCCACAGAAATAGCAGGTAGCAGGGGCGTGGCCCTGACTGACTACAGCTGAGTACAAAGAACCTGATGGATTGGCTGAGAGTCAGTGTTTGGCAGCTGGGGGCCTGGAGCCCCTCCAAACCGTCTCCAGACTTTGATGATGAAGCACCAGTTATATCTCTCCCAACTCGCCTTCCATCACCCGCACCATGACATACAGCTCAGCCAGACCCACCACAGAGGCGACGATCACTGCAGCCAGTATCCGCTGGGGAGGGAAAGGACCAGGCTCAGGAGATGAAGACCAGCCACCAGCCCTGCAGCCACCAACACCTCTAATGGGGATGAAGAGAACCCCAACCCAGCCCATAAGTTGGGGGAAAGGAAGAAATGAGGATCTGAATTCTCCAGAGGTTATTAACCACTCCCAAGACTATTAAGCTCAAATACGCCTCTTTTTTTTTCTTCTTTATTGATTAAGGCAGCAGTTCTCAACCTGTGGGCCGCGACCCCTTTGGCAGTTGAACGACCCTTTCACAGGGGTCGCCTAAGACCATCCTGCATATCAGGTATTTACATTACAATTTATAACAGTAGCAACATTACAGTTATGATGTGATACAATGAGGTCTGTCTGTAGTTCTTTGATTTTTTAATTATTATTTTATTCTTTATTGTAAGGTATTACACACGTGTCCTTATCCCCCCATTGTCTCCCCACGCCCATCCCGCTCATGCCCTCACCCCCCTGGTGTCTGTGTCCATTGGTTAGGGCCTAACTGTTAGGCTTATATGCTTGCATACAAGTCCTTTGGTTGATCTCTTCCCCTTACCCCCACCCTCCCCTACCTTCCATCTGAGGTTTGATGGTCTGATAGATGCTTCTCTGTCTCTGGATCTGTTTTTGTTCATCCAGTTTATGTTATTCATTATATTCCACAAATGAGTGAGATCATGTGATATTTATCTTTCTCTGACTGGCTTAGCAAACGCTCCTCTTGTTTACTGCACAAATATTTATTCATTGCCTAACTTATGCAGGCACTTTCACATACATCCTCCCTTCCCCACTAACACCCGCACCTGGAGCACCCTACCCTGCCAGTGCTTACTCACCGAGGCCATTTCTGTGAAGATATACTGGCTTCCAAGGTAAGTGCAGACAAAGGCGGCTGCCACCGTGACAATGAAGTTGAAGATGGTGATGACCACAGCCTTCACTGACCTCACTTTGGGGAGGAACCCAGGGAAGAAACCTTTAGCTCAGCATCCTCTAGGAGGTCCTCTTATCTCTACAGCTGCCTCCCCCATCCACTGGGTCTCCCTTAACCAGCAAACCTGAATAGCTTAGGCTTAACCCCAGAGTACTGGGATGGGAAGGAGTATCATGACTGAGCCCTCGCAGGGAGAGACTTTAGCACCTCACATCTTAGTCTCTCACCTTCCTTGCCCAGGTCACTTAGAATCCCACCATGCCTTGAATCCTGGAAAAAAGAAAAAACAAATGATTTCAGAATGGAAGCAGATCAGGGGCAGCCCAGAGAGTAGCCACCTGTTAGTCTGGGCTCAGCCCTTTTTAATTCCCCGAAGCATTGTAACTCTTTCTTATGCATGGATTCTTTTGTCTGTGACCAATTGGATTCTTTTCTGGACTACAGATCAAGCATTTCAAAGAAAGGACACAGGCTCCCAATACTCATCTACCCCTCGACTGTTCTGGGGCAGGAGCATGCCAGAGAACAGTAGGGAGCCCTGCTGGAAGAAAGGTCCAATGCTCATTCCCATCTCTACAACCTTGAAGAATCGGTCACCATCTAAGCCCAGAGTCTCAGTGAATAAGTTGGGAATTATATTTGGTTTTTATGTAACACAGAGCTGCTTTGGTCCCTGAAGAGTATACAAGCTATGTTCTTTCTTTCCTCTGTGCCTCTTCGCAGTGCAGGGCCCTGCTTTCTGGGGCTACTCAAGTCCATGTATTGAAGAGCAGGCCCTTACCTGACAGGTGACATTGCGGGTGATCCGCTTATATTCGTCATTGGCCAGCTGTATCTTAATTTTCTCCAGACGGGCAACTAGCTCTGGGTTCTAAGGCAGGAAAATCAAATGGGAAGAATGACATTCCCAGCTTGCTAGAAAACATGTCACAGTCATTGGTTTCAGGGGGCAAAGTACTGCTAAGGGTACTAGGAGACCCATGTACCAGTTCCGCCTCCACTGCTTTGGAAACTTTTATATTTGGTTCCCCCACCCCAGCTCCCAAGGATTTAAAAGACAAGATTTTGAACTCAAAAGTTGACGTATAAACCTGGCTGTATCACAGATAAGCTCAATTCAGCCAATATCTACTGTCACAAATATACCCCTTACATACCCTAGGAGGCTTCACCACCTCTGGGAGATAGATTTCACTGCCTTCTAGGAGCTGATGAAGGTACAGTGTGGAATCTGGGAAGAAAAAGATTTCCACAAACATAATGATCCATAGAGCTGAGGTTGAAGGATTAAGATCAGAGAAGGATCTAGTCTTTCCCCTAAAATAAAGCATGGCCATTCCTATACCAATTCACCTCCAAGACCATTTTCAATTGGGAAGAATATAAGATAATGCCACATAATCATCTCCTACTGCTGCACAGCTGTGTTTAACTGTCAGCTCTCAGTTTCCCTGGCCATGTCACTGCTAAGCCATAAGCCATTTACATTTGCCTGTAGGTGAAGTCATTTCTGTGGCCACCACAGAACTGCCCTAATGAAGTCTAATCAGAGAACACTGTACTAGAGGATCTCTAAGGTCCTTTTTAGTTCCAACAGTCAAGCAGTTTATCCTTTGTACTTCTGGGTAGGCAATGT